CCCCAAAACCCCAAAACCCCAAAACCCCAAAACCCCTAAGTTCAGAAAACTTATTGAAGCGATTTTTAACAGAATCTGCTGCTTCTAGAAAGTCCAAATTTTTACAGTACGGTCATCAGATCAAGAGGCGATGGTATTTGAGGACGGATGCATTGCAACGCAGTTTACGTCGTTTGAATGCCCTTGGCCAGGAGGTGACTGAGCCTCAACGGTAACATTGCTCATATCTGTTGGGTCGAGAAGGTAAATCTTGTTGTCACCTCCTCATGTAGCAATCTTGTTTGAACTATTGCCCCATGATACACTGTAAATACATCTCGAATGTACTCCTTCAGTGCTACTTTTAAGTACAGCTCCGGATTCATCAATTTCAAAGATTTTGATGCTCTTATCGTCTCCTACAGAGACTAAGAATTTTTCTGATTGGTCGAAATCAAGGCTCCAGACTGTAGATGTGTGGCCTTCTATGGTATATGCACAGACCCAGTCATCGAATGATTCATCATACTTCCATGCTTTTATGGTATCGTCATAACTGCATGAGAAGAGCATTTCATATCTTGAATTAAATTTGACAAATTTTACGTCTTGAGTATGTCCAGAGAGGACAGAGTTGCATTCGTATTCGAATGAATCATTGGTGTCCCAGATCCAAATATTCTTATCTCTGGAGCATGTGGCCATATACTTCCCGTCTTGAGACCATGATACGCATTTGACTTCATTTTCGTGTCCTTCAAGGGTTGCGACGCACTCAAACTCGCCATCTTCAAAGTTCCAGAGAGCTGCAGTTCCATCGAAGCTGCAGGAGGCAAGGGTTTTGCCATTCGGGTTCCAATCTACTGATCTGATCGATTTGGTATGACCATCCTTGAGGGTAAACTGAACACATCAGTTTTGAAGAACTTACTTGGTTGACAAATTGATCATTTTCATAGTTCCAAATCTTTACAGTTTGGTCAGAGGAACAAGTAGCTAAGCACTGATGTTCTGGGTGCCAGCTGAGACTCCAGACTCGTTCTTCATGCCCTAGAAATTACACTTTGGCTCACCTTCAAGCGTAGCTGCTTCTACAAGGGATCTAGGCTGAGGTTGTGCCATCTTCAATATTTTTATGTAGAGGAGGGGTTTTGGGGTTTTGGGGTTTTGGGGTTTTGGGGTTTTGGGG